CCTCGCTAGCACCTAGAGCAGCAGCCTCACCAGTACCTAGAGCAGCAGTCTCAATGCCCGGGTCGGGCGGAAAACACCGGTAACAGTCACCCTCATCACTAATAGTCACAGTATACACGGCAGCAAGAATAGCATCAAAGTCAAGGTCAAAGACAGCTACACCCGCCCTAGACAGCTCACCCCAGCGGGGGATCTCAGTGGCCTCAGGGAACTGGTGACGCCAAGCGTCCGTGAGGCGGCCAAAGCAGCGCTGGGTGGAGTGCGCACCCCCGCACTGCTCACCCGTGCGGTCGCCGGTGCGCAGGACGTAGGTGCACGGACCAGCACCCCCACCCCTCTGGCGTGCAGTGTACCACTCACGGAGCTGCTGAGGGGAGGGGACGTCACGAGTGCGCTGCTGCTGCTGCTGCTGCTGCTGGCGCTGACCACCACCGGAGCTGACCCTCTGCGCAGCGCCACCCCGACCAGCTCCACCTCCTCCGCCGCCTCCTCCTCCACCGCCGCCACCTCCGCTCCCTCCGCCACCGCCGCTGCCTCCTGCGCCTCCACTGCCGCCACCTACACCTCCACCCCCGCCACCACTCCCACCGCCACCCCCACCTCCTCCACCACCTCCACCGCCGCCTCCACCGCCCCCGCAAGCTCCTCCAGCGCCCCTGCCCCCCTTGCCCCTGCCAGGGCGGCGTCTCCCGCTAGGGGTAGACGCTGCCCCAACCGACTCCAAACCAGCGAGGTCAGCCGCAGCAGCAGAGGCAACAGAGGGCAAAAGAGGGGAGGGGGAACACCCCTCAAAGATGGGGGTGCGAGGGTCACCACGAGAGGCTCCTACAGCAACTATGCTCTTTTCTGCTGCTAGGAGGGCCTTCTCGAGGAGGTCAACGGTGAGAGTGGTGGGACAAACCGAGAGGAAGTGGTCCCTGACTACGCGAAGGGAGTCAGGGAGACGGGTGACTATGTAGTAGAGGGTGATGTACATGGGGGGGGGGTTCTTGGCGCAGAACTCAGCAGGAAGCGCAGCGCGGTAGCGAGTGTCACTAGAGCGGAGGTGCGTAATGAGGTCAGCGACTGTGGGAAAGGCAGCAAGGTCAGGGAAGAGGTACGGTAGCATGAGGCGGCTCAGTGCAGCAGTGGCAGGGGAGGAGTAGCGTGCAACTACAGCGTCGTACAAGGTCTGAGCACTCTTGTACTGGCTAAAGTGCGCACGCTCAGAGGTAGGGAGGTGGCGACGCACAGCAAGACGTGCAGCAGCATCGCGCGTGGCCCACTGTGAGCGAACGGTGGCGTCAGCATCAGCAGCGGGGGCAGGAGAGGCACCAGAAGTGAGGTCAAAGAGGGAGAGGCCGTCTGCTCTGTCGCACTGTAAGAAAAGCTGCAGGTTATCTATCCAGACGTCAAAGTCAATGGCCCGACCCTCAGCGTCAAAAGCGAGGACACTAGGGGTAGCCATGACAGCAGTAGACTAGCAGTGCAAACAGTAGGGCGAGGGCAGTGCTGTGAGAGAGGCGCTGCTCTTACCGGACAGGGCGGTTCGGGCGGCTCGGCTGCAGGGCGGCTCGGCAGCTCGGCGACTCGGCGGCTGGGCGGCTCGGCGGCGGGGCGGCTCGGCTGCTGGGCGGCTCGGCTGCGGACAGGGCGGCTCGGCGGCTCGGCGGCTCGGCGGCTCGGCTGCTGGGCGGCTCGGCTGCTGGGCGGCTCGGCTGCTGGGCGACTCGGCTGCTGGGCGGCTCGGCGGGGCCGCTGAGAGGGCGGCGTCCGGGGCCGCTGGGAGGAGGCGGCGGGGCCGCAAAGGTAAGTGGCGGGGCCGCGGAGGTAGGTGGCGGGGCCGCACAGTAAGGCGGCGGGGCCGCGAAGGTAGGTGGCGGGGCCGCACAGGTAGGTGGCGGGGCCGCGGAGGTAGGTGGCGGGGCCGCACAGTGAGGTGGCGGGGCCGCGAAGGTAGGTGGCGGGGCCGCACAGGTAGGTGGCGGGGCCGCGGAGGTAGGTGGCGGGGCCGCACAGTGAGGTGGCGGGGCCGCGAAGGTAGATGGCGGGGCCACACAGGTAGGTGGCGGGGCCGCACAGGTAGGTGGCGGGGCCGCGGAGGTAGGTGGCGGGGCCGCGGAGGTAGGTGGCGGGGCCGCACAGTGAGGTGGCGGGGCCGCGAAGGTAGGTGGCGGGGCCGCGGAGGTAGGTGGCGATGGGCGCGACGGGCGCGACGGGCGCAACGGGCGCGACGGGCGCGACGGGCGGACGGGCGCGACGGGCGCGACTCGGGCCGGCGCAAAACGCGCTCCGGGCAGGAAAAAAAAAAAAATTCGTGGTGGTGGGCCCTAGGAATCGTTCCCACTAGGGAACCTGCTCGATACCATGAGAAGAAACGAGGAATGAAATGACTAAGTGAAAGTTGGGTACAAGAAGCAAACCCTAGAAAACTGTACCCCATATGTGCTACCCCACTATAGCCTACAGTAGCTATGTCATATAAATCTGACAGTAGGACCCCGGTCTCGGACGGCGCAAAATGTCGATTTTCTCGGCGAGCGCGAGGATCTCGTTGAAATCCGATAGCCCGCGTAGCATGATTTTGTGCGAGATAACTTCAGCCCTCCGACGTAACGGTCCACCCGCTCCGCCTCGTGCATGTAGCCGACTTGCTCGCATAGTGCGAGAAAATCGCTCGTGTAGTCTTGGACCGACCCAAATTGTCGCCAGTACGCAGCCTTTGACGCGCCGAAATAGAAGCCGCGATCGGCTCGAAGCGCGCCCGAAGCCCTGCGCACCACGAATCCCACGTGCTGTACTGGGCGGTTTCGCAGAACGAACTCCAGGTGATGGCTGGACCCGTGGGCCCTTCCTCTTGCGACGGCGGCTCGTAGGCGCGTTGCGACGTCACAATGACTCGCCACCAGTCCATGGCGGGGCCCCGTAGCAGCGAAACGGCGTATCGTATCTTCGCTGTGTCCGACTCGACGTAATTCGCGTCGAAGAAGACGTTCATCGTGAAGACCACGATTGAACCGTCGGACCTCCACGTTGGCTGGGATCGAAACAGGGCGGGCGCTGCGGTTTGAGCGGCATCGGTGCGACGATGTCGTTATTGCCGATCGTCGCTGCAAATTCGACGTGACGACGGGCTTCGCGGGGCCCGTTCGTGCTTGGTGCGGCCCTGTTCCTCTCCATGCCAGGCATTGATTGGGCGGCGCCATCACTGGCTGCGCCTGAGCGCTGTCCCACGCTGTCGTGTTGTGACGGTATGCCGAATGAAATAACAATCGGCTCATCCGATTGCGCAGGTGCTGGTGTTGGTGCCGGTGCATGCGCCGTTGATTGCTGGCGGGCGGAGTCACGTTCCGTCGTGAGTGTCGCGATTTCAAGCTGCGAATCTTCGAGTTGGCGTACGAGCCGGTCGAGCTGCTCCTGCGTCAACGTCGCGAGGTTGAATTCGGCCATGGCGGGGGTGTCGGGCAAGCTCAGCGAGAGCCTCAGTCGTGGCCGTGCGTGCTTTCGAGAGAGCACTTCGAGCGGCGGTGCCTGAACGCTGAGAGACGTCTACCCCCCCCCCAAAATTTGAGATAGTGGGGATGCGAAGGTGTGGGTGCAGTCCGAGAAGAGATCGTAGGCTCTGAATACCAAGTGTTACGAGTGCAATTGAGTGAGCGAGCGAGAATTGCACTACCGAAGCAAAACAGTACATCGACCGAAGGCATGAGCGAAGAATATATAGCGAAGCTACAGTGGTAACGGTAATGTGTGAAAATGGGGTGCGCTACGGGCCTAGCGCCGAGGCTGGGAATTGTCGAGGCGGAGGTCCGGAGCGCGGGTTACCAACCGGACCGTGAGGTTGGGTCGCGTCGTGAACAGTGGCGGGAACAGTGGTCGATGCGTGTGTCGCGAGTGGTAACGGTGCACTGTTGAGAGTTGTTGACGGGAATAGTGGTGTACGCGTTGAGCAGGGACGCGAAGTAAGGAAAAGGTTTTTTCCTTACAACCAAATAGTGGTCTGTGCTTTCTTTTTATGGCCTATGATGACCCTTTGGGGGTCGAAGTTTCCTTTCATACGGGGTGCTGCTTCCAACCCCCTCCGCCATCTCGAACTGTTCACCCCGCGCGCCCCCCCTGATACTCCGCTCGCGCCAGGACTTCGGACGTGGCGTCAACTTAAGGGCGTGTGTCCTTGGCGGGCAAGTTCGAAATCGAGTTCGAACTTTTGGTGGTAACCTGTTTCGTTAATCTCGCCATGCTGGGTTGCGACTTTCGTCAAAACAGGTAAGAAAGATGGGCGCGAGCTAGGTTGTAAAAGTCGACCCTCGATAGTCGATCTTTCGATGTGACATGTAATTGCCTTGAAAGGTGACTCGCGGCTAGACCATGGGAAGTTCTAAAATTCGACTACAGTTCGAACCAAGTTCAAGTGTTAAATGTCGAGTTTAAAAAGCAAACTTTACAAAATTTGCAGAAGGACACACGCCCTAAGGTGGACCCTGAGTCGACCCCGAACCTACTTTCTACCTTACTTAGTGATGGTTTCCCCCTCAACTCACCTCCTCCCGAACAGCACCTAGGGGCGAGGGATCGAGAAGGGATAGACTTTTGGTGTCGAAATTCCAAAAAAAACGGAAAATGAACTGTGCTTTTGGACGTGCAATTTTGGACTGTTTTGTATTTACTGGTGCTTTTGCCCTGGTTGTGTATCCTTTGACTACGCGGTTCTGACAGTTGCGGCTCGGACTGTTTCTACAGCTGTCAGTACTGTAACCCAAATCAAGTTGCATCTGGAAGGTAGTGACCCCAGGTTCGGAAACCCTAGGCCGACTCGGCTATACTTTGGTGGGGCTGTACAAAAGAATGAAGTGCAATCGAACAGGGCCTATGCTGCTCCGCTTCTCCACCCTTTTCCGTACCGCACAGTAACTTCCGCTGAGAGTGCTAGCCATAACTCACCAGCTCGTTTCCTGCTTAGTAACGACGATTGCTCTTCAGAGGCACCCGCCATGCCGTTCACTCGCCGAAGCTCCCTTGCTATGACGGACGACTCCCCGATCCAACGGCTCTCAGACCATCTACTCGCGAGAATCCTCCATCTCGCCTCTGCACCCGGCGGGTTCCAGCACGCGCTAGTGTGCAAGAAGTGGCGCGACGCGGCGTATCGCGTGCAGGATGCCGTTCAGCTGCGCGCCAACCGTCGCATGGACGCGCGCCGACTGCTCTCCGAGCTCTCGGCATTCCCGAGGCTCACAGAACTCATCCTGTCGGATCGGAGCCTGATATCAATTCCCGATGGTTTCCTCTCGACGCTGGGCGCCGCGCATCCCGGGCTGATCAAGTTTCACTTCCGAACCATGTTCGATACCGTTGCGCGCATCGAATGCTTCACGGAGGAAGGTCTTTCGCGCTTCTTCCAGAGATGCACGCGCCTCGAGGTCCTCTATCTCGAGTCCCCGCCGTGTCTGCCCGCCATTCCCGCCGCCATCGGCGCCCTCGCTTGTCTCGCTCACCTGCACCTCGCGGCGCACGCGCACCGCCTCCCGGACGCCTTCACGTGCTTGCGCGCGCTGCTCACGTGCGTACTGCACATGCCCGCCCTGCAACAGCTGCCTCTGGGCTTCGGCAGCCTCACGTCCCTCCAGTCCTTGCACCTCGATGCGTGTCAATGTCTCTCCTCACTCCCGGAATCCGTTGGGGAGCTCACTAACCTAGACCGCCTGTCCATCAGCGGCTGCAGCAGCTTCCGCCTGCCGGAGTCCTTCCCTGCGCTGGCATCGCTCAGGGAGTTGAAGGTGAAGCGTTGCGAGGCGCTCTCCCCAATACCGGATGATGTCGGGCGGCTGCAGGCGCTTGAGAGCGTGGTGTTGGAGGACGTGGGTGGCATCGCAGGCCTTCCTGAGTCCTTGGGGTACCTGCAGCGCCTGCACTCCCTTTCCATCGACGGCTGCCACGACCTCTCGTCTCTGCCCACCTCCCTGCCCGGCCTATCATCACTCGCACATCTCCACCTCAACGCGTCGAAACTCTCGGCACTGCCAGATGTCTTCGGGTGGGCCTCGAACCTCCGATCTTTTAGCTTATTCGCCGGCAGCTTCACACTCCTGCCTGACTCCTTACCTCTCGCCGCGGCCCTGCAGCAGCTGGCGCTTCACAATCTGCACTCGCTCACGGCTCTTCCTCGCGACTTGGGAAAGCTCACGAGCCTGCGGGAGCTGGAGATTGTGGAGTGCAGCGAGCTGGTGGGGCTGCCCGCCTCGCTGTGCCTGCTCTCGTCCCTCACACGCCTCACACTCACTGAATGCCCTGCACTGGCAGCGCTACCACAAGCCATGGGCCTTGGCCTGCACAGTCTACAAGAGCTCACTCTCGACTGCAAGAACATCACCCACCTGCCTCCGTCATTCTTCAGCCCGACCTCGCTTGAACAGCTAGGCATGTTTCACCTGGCGTGCGTGAGAGGGCCCCTGCCAGACAGCTTCAGCCGCTTCACACGGCTGAGGGAGCTCTCTCTCGTTGCCATGCCGCACCTCACCGCCCTCCCGGCGTCGCTGGCTGCCCTCGCCCCCACGCTCACCAGCCTGCGGGTGGACGGCTGCAGCGAGCTGAGGGACGTGGCGGAGGGGCTCAGCCGGCTGACAATGCTTGAGTCGCTCACCATCACGCATTTAGATAGCTTGAGATCACTCCCGCGGTCGCTGCTTGAGCTGCCCGGGCTGCGGGAAGTAGTGGTGGATGAGTGCAGTGAATCAGGCAAGACCACTAGCGGTGTATCTTGGTTGGTGGCATCTGCAGTAGCCGCAGCAGCGGTAGTGACAGCAGCGATACAGAGCGGAGTGCAGTGTCTACACTGCGTTTATCATCAAACTCCTGACTAAACTGTGTCGTGTGGTATCTTGAGCTGACACTCAGATTGGCTCCCGTTGTTTCCTTGGTGCAGGTCCTTCTCTCACCCTTTTTCATCTCCTACCCGTTGCTGCCCTGCTCTGCCTCCCTACATTCCCTCTGATCCTCTCCTCCCCCTCTTCTCCTCTCCCTTTGTCTCCCCTCGTCCCTGTCCCTGTGCTCCCCTTTCTTCCCTTTCCATCCCTCCCCCTGTCCTTCTGCTGGATATGGTGGTGAGATGAGGATGGGGAGGGGAAGGCACTGAGGGGAGTATGCCTGAACAGGTGTTTGAACCAAGCTGGCTTGTGGCGTGCTGCCAGAGGTTCTTTTCCCATTTCCTCCACTTGCTCATCACGAGCCGTGCCAAATCCCAGCAGCAGGCTCGATCGAGTCGAGACCCCTCTGCAGGTCGAACCGGGTGGGGCGTGAAACAAGCCGGGCACATTTCAAACTGCAGGGCTTGCCCGAGCATGGCTTGGCATTGTGTTATTTTACCTACCGCGACAAGTTTGTAGTTGTAGGGTTGTTCCACCGCTTCCAACCCTGCCAATGTGAATCAAAACAATAACCATGGAGTGTGGCGTCGTTCAAAGTGCGTATATACTTCTCCTCTTTTCCAATCACTGAGATATATATTGAACAATCACTACAAGGGTCTGATCCGAATGCTTCTCGTCTTACCGAGCCGTATTCTAGAGGGTTACAGAGAAGTTACGAAGTGGACCCAGCAGCAGCACCAGTACGAGGCACAGTAGTCTGAACTGAAACAGCCGTGTGACTGATATGCTCATTCTATACCTAGGAAACGTGTCGCGCACCGACAACGCAAGGCCAAATAGGAAAACATTTACGGTCGCCGTTTTAGGCGCCGCTATCCAGAGCCCACACACAGCGCACGCGCGGATCGCCGCTTCTAGTAACAGCGCGAACCTTCGCCGTCTTTTATCGGGAGCGCAAAGAGGCAGCGGCACTCGAGCCCTCGTCGGTTGGTGATGGGGCGACTCGAGTATGCAGCCGACGAGGAAGATCGCGATCAAGCGGCTCGAAGAGAGAGTAGCGACGAGGACGAGGAGCCAAGGGCGCAGGAGGAGGGGGCGGAGGAAAATAGGGGTTCAGGGGATGAGGAGAGCGATGACGAGTTGGGGCATGAACGGGCAGCTGCGATTGAAGTCGGTGTTGTAATGGGAGAAATGGCGGGAGAAGACGATAACGAGGATGACGATAACGATTCGGACGATGCGCCCGAGGAGTTCACTCTGTCGCAGGTGCCCGCCCACCATCGCCGTCTCTCCGTCCGCCCGTCGCTGCTTTCCGTCTTTTCCTCTCTTCGCGCCACTGCTTCTGAACTGATTTGCGCATCACTGCGTAAAATTTCCAAACCCGAAACCTTCGCTGTGCCGCTCCTCTCTCCCCGCCCTACCAGGGACGCGAGCGGGTGTCGCAGCAGCGCCAACAGGAGGCGGAAGCCCGCCGCATGTGAGTGCACGCCGCATTGGGGGGTGACGTGGCATGCCCCCACTGGTTGCTTGCAACTGCATCTTCCCTTCGAGCTCTTCCCCTCCGCCGTTGTGACCCGCTGTATTGCGTTGCTCATTCCGATCCTCTACACGCCGCCCCACCTCGCAGGGTCGCCAAGGCTGACAGAGAGGTTCGGCAAAAGCGAGCAGGCTTGGTAGCGAAGGGAGAGGAGGGGGAGGGAGAGGGAGAGGGCGAGGAGCGGCGGGGCAAGGAGGCGGAGAGGAAGGCGAAGCGCAGGCGCGAGCTGGAGGGACGCGCGGAGAGGCGCACGCGGCGAAAGGGCGCGGCGGAGGGGGGAGACGAGGCGGCGGGGTCGCTGGTACCCGCAGAGGCGAGGGGCGGTGCTCGGGAGGAGGGGATGGTGGGGGGTGCGGGTGCGGGCGAGGAGGAGGGGGAGGGCGCGGTGGAGGGGGGCGCGGTGGAGGGGGGCGCGGTGGAGGGGGGCGCAGTGGAGGGGGGCGACTTTCTTCCCGCGGACGTGATTGCTGCCGTCACACGGCGCCAGCACACCAGGTGCGCGCACAGCATAGGGATGCTTGGGGGAAGAATTAGAATGTAGTGAGTTGAACTGTTTTGGGTTGGGTGAGAGCTGAGATGAATCCCAGTCGTTTGTGCTAGTGCCCACCCCATTCTGCCCTTTCCCCGCCTTCCTGTCCCCACCCAAACCCTTTCCCCCAACCGCAGGTTCACAGAAGCGCAGGAGGAGAGGTCACGGTCAGCCGTGAGGGAGAAGAAGCAGCGGGCGGGGCGGGGCGGCAGCAGGGGCAAGGACAGCCACACATCAGCTGTCATCGGCACACGGTGGGTGCTGCGGCATGCGGTGGGTGCTGCGGCAGGGTAGCAGTGCCACGGCCAGAGTGGTAAGGTCAAATACTTGTCCTCACAGCACTCTTCCATATCCCCACGCCCACCGTCCTCACCTGCCCCGTTTCGCTTCGTCTCAGCTGCTCAGCTTGCTCTCCCACCTCCATGCCAATCACTGCTCCTCTTCTTCCCAAAGTCCCAGTCAGCATTCTGCCCCCACCTGCGCCCTCACCATCCCTCGGGGACTGCCCTCACGACACCACTGCACTGGTTCAAGCAAAGGCACCTGCTGCATTGTTCCAACCCCTCGCTCGTCCTCACATCAGCCCACTCCCCCGTGTGTACCACGCAGGTCGGACGGGGCGATAGTCATCCAGGCAGGCGCGCCGGCACCGGAGGGCGAGGAGGCAGCGCGGGCCATCATGCGCGCCGCGCAGAGCTTTCGGCACGGGGTGCTGTTTGGGCGGCGGCAGCGATCACTTGCAGCGCTGGGGTTTGTGGACCCCACGGCGCTCAAGGTGCCCGGGCAGTGGCGCGCCCACAAGCATCTTGTGGCGGGGGGTGTGGGGGGAGCGGGCGTGCAGGGGGGTGTGGGGGCACGGAAGGGAGGCGGCAAGCGCAACGGGAGGGGCCGTGGTGGTGCTAGGCGGTGATGGGGTTTGTGGGCCCCAGGGCGCTCAAGGTGGCGGGGCAGTGGCGCGTCCGCCCACTAACACCTTGTGGCGGGGGGTGTGGGGGGAGCGGGCGTGCAGGGGGGTGTGGGGGCGCGGAAGGGAGGCGGCAAAAAGAAGGGGAGGGGGCGTGGTGGCGGGCAGGGTGGGCTGCGATGAGGCGATGAGGGGTTGAGGCGATGAGGGGACGAGGGGATGAGGGGGTGCGGTGCAGTGTGGGTGGTAGATGGAGGGTGGCCAAGGGGAGCAGAGGCGCAGCGGTGAGAGAGAGGAGGCGTGGTGGTGGAGCGGAGTGATGATGGAGTTGGATTGAGAGCAGGCCAGGCAGATGTCCACTGTAGCTACCGTCCCCCGTGCTCTTGACAAGCCTCCGTGTGCACACTGAGAACACATGGTGGTAGGCTGGATAAGGCCGGAGGGGCAGATGCACGTGTGCGTATTGATTTGCATTAAAAGAGCAGTGTTTGAGAATTACTGAGAAGAATCTTTCATATGGCTTCTGGCAGTCAATACGTTCCATCCAACATTTGAAAACACTGCACTTCTAGCATGATTTGCATTTGTCAGCCACAAATGGATTAGGGTAGCGGTAGCTACAATCATGAATGAATCACAACAGCAGTTGCTAGTAATGAAGGGAGGAGTAGCCCATAGGAGAGCAGCTGCTGGGGTCCATGCTGCCAAACCAAAACCACCCCCAGTAAGGAAGGCGGCACGACGGGAACATCCCATCCCCCGCCACATGGAGTCACGGGGGGGTGGGGTGCTATGCTACAGCTGAAGGGGCAGCACGAGGTGGGGAGGGATGTGAGCGAGCGACGGTGGCAGGGCGTGCAGAACGCGCCCCGAAGCCTCTGAGCTGGGCGCCATAGTGCTGTGCCACCCTGCCCCGCGCATGCACCTCCACACCCTTCCCCCACTCTGCTGCCCCGTCCCCTCCCTCTGCCTCCTCCCCCGCCCCTTCACCGCCTGCTGTGTGCCTTGCTGCCACCACTTTCCCTCCCTCCTTCCTGCGCCCCTGCTCTCCGCCCACCCTACTGCACTGCTCCCCATCCCCCGCGGGACTGCCTCCCTTCCTGCCCACCTCCTTGCTGCCCCCGTGCCACCGCTTCACCACTTTCCACTCCCCTCCCTCGCCCGCCCCCCACACCCTGCTGCCTCCCTCTGCTCTCACCCACTCTTGCTCCTCTTCCACACACCTCTCCTCTTCCACACGCCTCTCCTCTTCCACACGCCTCTCCTCTTCCACACGCCTCTCCTCTTCCACACGCCTCTCCTCTTCCACACGCCTCTCCTCTTCCACACGCCTCTCCTCTTCCACACGCCTCTCCTCTTCCACACGCCTCTCCTCTTCCACACGCCTCTCCTCTTCCACACGCCTCTCCTCTTCCACACGCCTCTCCTCTTCCACTCGCCTCTCCTCTTCCAAGCCCCTCGCTCCCATTCCCCCCTCGTTTGAGCCACTCACACCACACACGCACGCGTCACCTGAGCCATGAGCATGCTCCATCATCACACGCGCCTCGCCACAAGTCAGCAGTGCGACGTGGAGGGCAGGGCAGCAGCAGGCGCAGGCGGTCACACACGATGCCGTCGTGCCCGTCATCGCGCCCGGAGCTGTGCATGAAGTGACTTTTGAGTCGACTCAAAACGAGGTGACTTTTGAGTCGACTCAAAACGAGGTGACTTTTGAGTCGACTCAAAAGCCGCCCGTCATGGACTCATCGCGCCCGGAGCTGTGCAGAAACGCCACCTGCACCATGCGCCGCACCTGTGATGGGTTTTGAGGCGCCTCAAAAGTCATGAGGCGCCTCAAAAGCCTGCACCATGCGCCGCACATGTGATGGGCTGCTCTCACGCGCATGGGAGGGGCTGGGCTCGGTACTGGGTGGTGGGGCGTGGTGGCGTGTGTGGTGGTGCTGAGCATGGGTGACGTGACGATGCCCATATGTGTGGCACGTGTGGTGCCGAAGAACACCTGCCAGCCAGCCAGTGACGCATGCACCACGGAGACGTGAGCGGCAGCGGCAGCGGGAGGTGATCTTTGAGTCGGATCAAAAACCAAAATGAAGTGGGTTTGAGTGCAGAGTGGCAATGCGACGAAGCGTAATTAGGTGCGGGGATGGTGGGGTGGCGTATGACGGAAGGCGTGGGGTGGGTTACCAGATCGCCTCGCACAATGCCGTTCACACAGACGGGCTCACAGAAGGCCTCCTGTGGAGCAGCGAGGGGGGCGAGAACAGACAGAGGTGAGGGCGGTGAGAGCAGGAATGAGTGAGAACAGGAAGGGTTGAGAGCAGGGAGGAGTGAGAACAGGAAGGGGTGAGAGCAGGTAGGGGGGTGAGAGAAGGGAGGGGTTACGAGCAGTGACAGGGGTCCGGGGGAGAAGAAGGGGGTTTGTGGTTTGAGAGCAGCCAGGGAGGGGAGTGATGAGCAGGCAGTGCGGCAGTTGAGCAGCGTGCGGCAGCGCAAGGGCTATAAGGAGCTGCGTTGCACTGAAGGGGTACAGGAACCAGAAGCACTGACCTGCTGGAAGGCGTCTCGAGGCACCCACACTCCGGCAGATGCATATGCTCGCTGCACTGCACCCCCCATGCCCCAGCACCCCCCATGCCACAGTGCATGCATGAAGAAAAATACCCAAAAGAGAAGGATGCGGGGAATTGTGCTTTCAAAGGAAAGGTGCAGGCAATGGCATGGCACAGACAAGCACAGGTGCAGCACAGCAGGGCAGGGCACCCAGGAGAAGCAACCATGCAACTCACTCTCCCATATACACAGGCGTGAAGCGCTTCGCTCGCCTCACTCACAGCCAGCTCGCCTCACTCACAGCCAGCTCACATGGTGCACTGCAGCGGTGCCACACATACCTACCGCTCTGCCGCCGCAGCAACTGCGTCCACTTGTGAGTCACACATCACATCACATCACATCACATCACATCACATCACATCACATCACATCACATCACATCACATCACATCACAGGGTCACTTGTGAGTCACACATCACATCACATCACATCACAGGGTCACTTGTGAGTCACACATCACATCACATCACATCACAGGGTCACTTGTGAGTCACACATCACATCACATCACATCACAGGGTCACGGGTAAGGAGCAGCGCTGCCACGCTCATTCCGCACGTCCTGAGCTCTCGCAGCGCAGGCACTGCAAACAAGGCGGCTGCGCTCTGCGCTCTGCGCGCTGCACGTGGGGGTGGCGCCATGAGGCGAGGGGCGAGGCACACGCACCGAGCCCGCTGCAGTCGAAGTGAGGCCCGGTGGTGCCGCCCCACAGGTACACATTGCTCTCCGCCCCACAGGTACACATTGCTCTCCGCCCCACAGGTACACATTGCTCTCCGCCTGCGTTGCCTCCGCGAATGCGGCCGCGGCCTCTCTCACCCCCTCCATTACCGCATTCCCCCTGATGCTTCCCCCTTCACAGCCCACTCCTCCGCCGTTCCGCCTTTCCGTTCCGCCCTCCCCCGCACTGCCTGCCTCCCGCCGTGCACTCTCTGAGCTAATGGACAGGCGACGGATGGCGCCTTGAGCCACGTCAGCAGCCGATATCCACCCGGGATACGCGTCCTCGCACAGCCGGATCGAAATCGCGCCCGGTGCCACGTCGTATCCTAACGGCCGCTGCGTCACGTGCGAGCCCGAATGAAACGGCCGCGACGTCCGGATCACGAATGCGGGGTTCGATCGAGGCGGCGGCGAGAGCGACGAGGCGTCGGCCCGTCCACGCCTGCGTGGCGAGGCGCGTGCATCGCGGCGAGTCGAAGACGTCGAGGCGCGGATGCGCCACCTCGAACAGATGGCGGTCCGTCTGCGCCAAGAGCACGACCGTTGCGGCATCCATGGCGAGAGAAGTCAGTTGCGGCGAGGCGGACCAGACGCCAGTGGGCGAAACGCGGGCGTGCGACGGAACGGGAGGACGAGAGCACGGTGCTGCGTCCACCGCGCGACACGGCTATGCTGCTTAGCACCTTCACTCAGGTGTGGTACAAGCAGCGGTCAGGAAGGTTTCCGCGTGATCACTGATCAACAGAGTTGCGCTAAATCGAATAACGAAGCTGTGGCTGAATGAACTGATCATACAATGAAGGCCATACACTGACCACATAGTGGCTACTTGTAAGGAATTTTTCGGCATTCCTTACCGCGTGCTTCAACACCGCGTACAGCTGCAGCCGTTGTTCGCCCGTTACTGCTAACGGGGCTTCGCCAACCTTCGCGCGCACTAGTCACCAAACCATGCACCGCTGGACCGGCCGTGTCGGCCTACGCTTCGGGACTAGCCCGAACCTCGACGCCAGCATAGCACTAGCTAGCTCGCACGCACCGCGTTACTGTTTGCATGTTCGCACATAAGTATTCGCTCATGCCTTCGCTCATACTTCGTACTCGTTTGACAACCTAGTGCAATCCTCGCTATCTCGTTCCATTGCACCCGTAACACTTGGCTATCAGAGCCACTTTCCTTTTCGGACCGCGTATTTCAGCAACCAGAGAACTCAATTTTTGTTTTTTCACCCGAAGGGACTCACGCCCCTTAGCCCCTAGGAGCCGCTGTCCTCGCGTTCTCTCGTAAACGCGTGCAGCCATGACCATGCCTAGCGCTAAGACGAGCCGCTGCCCTTCGACATGGCCGAACATATCGACGTCACAAGCCTCACGCAGGAGCGCCTGTACTAACTGCAGCAGCTGCACGAAAGCACCGAGGAAATTGCGGCGCTGACGGGAGAGCGTACGTCACTGCAAATTGACGTCGCACGGGCGCAACAAGCACTATCGCAAACACAAGGCACGCAAGCACAGGGAGCACATCAAACATCCCATCACGGAAGTGTGGGACAACCCTCGTGCGCGGCTAGTGATGGCGTCGCCCGCAACGACGGAGGCGACGACCATGGCACGACACACCCTGGAGCGATGAATGCGGCCAGGAGTCAGCCACGCATAACGATTTCGGTGCCGAACGACGAGTCAACACTGCCGTCGCCGATGCCGCTCAAGCCGCAGCGTCCGACTTGCTTCGATCCGAGCCAACGGGGTGGTCCGACTGTTCAGGCGTGGTTATTCACGACGAACGTCTTCTTCGACGCCAACTACGTCTCGGTGGATGCGGCGAAAAATCGATACGCCGTGTCGCTGATGCGAGGATCCGCCATGGATTGGTGGCGCGTCATCGTCACGAAGCCGACGGACTACGAGGCTCTACCGTCAGGGAAGGACAAACCGGACCCTGTGCGCCGTCGTATTTCGTGGAGGTAGCCCAGTATCGCGCGTGGGACGCGTGGTGCGCAGGTCTGCGCGCGAGATTCGAGCCAATCGCGGCTTCGATCGCGGCGCGACAGAGGCTCCGCACTTGGCGCCAGCTCGGTTCCGTCCAGGACTACACCAGCGGGTTTCTGGCGCTATGCGAGCAGGTGGGATACATGCATGAGGCGGAACGCATCAACCGCTACGTCGGCGGCCTGAAAAGCGATATCGCCCAGGAGATCCTGCTACGCAACGTCATTGAATTCAACGAGATTCTCGCCATGGTGGAGAAACTCGGTTTTCTTCGCCGACCGAGACCGGGGTCCTATGGCAACAACAGCAGCTGGGGACATCTGACTCGTGGGACGAACGAGCACGCAACGATACGTGCCGTCGCCGCGAATGCCGCTGCCGCACCGTTCAAAGGGCGCTGCTTCGCTTGCAACAGGCGGGGGCACCGTAAGAGCGAATGCCCAGAAAACGCTAAGGGAAAGGGGGGAGTTGAGTAGCAGAAACAGACCAAGCAGCAGGGAAACGCTGGTTAGTAGCAGACGGGCCCTCTACTGACAGGTCACGCTGCTCGCCCGACCCAACCGACCCTCACCGAGTGATTGTGCCGGTTCACGCAATCGACCACACGCGGCCGAATATGGAGGGTACAACGGTAGACAGTCCCATACTGTCAGAACATATATATATAGCTTATGCTGTTGTGTAGGCTATAGTGGGGTATCCCATAGGGGGTACAACCCAATTAGGGTTTCCCATATGTACTCACTTCATTCATAGTTCATTCATTCTCGTTCTACTTTTCTCATGGTATCGAGCAGGTTCCCTCGTGGGAACTGTTCCTAGGGCCCACCGTTTTTTTTTCCTGCCCGGAGCGCACTCTGCCCCTACCCGGGTCGCGCTCCCCTCTCTCTTGGCCCCTAGTGGCCCCTTTAGCCGCCCGTCACGGCCCTTAGCCGCCCGCGCGCCGCCCGTCCCGGCCCCTTAGACGCCCGCGCGCCGCCCGTCCCGGCCCCTAGACGCCAGTGCGCCGCCCGGCCCGGCCCCTAGACGCCCGCGCGCCGCCCGTCCCGGCCCCTAGACGCCCGCGCGCCGCCCGTCCCGGCCCCTAGACGCCCGCGCGCCGCCAGTCCCGGCCCCTCGACGCCCGCGCGCCGCCCGTCCCGGCCCCTCGACGCCCGTGAGCCGCCCGTCCCGGCCCCTAGACGCCCGCGCGCCGCCCGTCCCGGCCCCTAGACGCCCGCGCGCCGCCCGTCCCGGCCCCTCGACGCCCACGCGCCGCCCGTCCCGGCCCCTAGACGCCCGCGCGCCACCCGGACCGACCCCTAGACGCCCGCGCGCCGCCCGTCCCGGCCCCTCGACGCCCGCGCGCCGCCCGTCCCGTCCCCTCGACGCCCGCGCGCCGCCCGTCCCGGCCCCACGCCGCCCTACCTGCGGCCCACTCACCGCCCTACCTGCGGCTCGCCCGCCGCCCTAACTGCGGCCTGCCCGCCGCCCCACTTGCGGCCCTACCGCCCCCCTACCTACGGCCCGACCGCCGCCCTACCTGCGGCCCAACCGCCGCCCTACCTGCGGGAGCCGCCTAGCAGCAGAACCGCCGGGAGCCGAGCCGCCCTGCCGCCGAGCCGCCCGGGAGCCGAGCCGCCCTGCCGCCGATTCGCCCGGGAGCCGAGCCGCCCTGCCGCCGAACCGCCCGGGAGCCGAGCCGCCCTGCCGCCGAGCCGCCCGGGCGCCGAGCTGCACTGCCGCCGAGCCGCTGAGCAGCCGAGCCGCCCTACTGCCGGGCCGCCCGACCTGCCCTGTCCGGTGAGCACAGCCCCACTGTCACTGCGTGCCCTTCCCCTACTGCTTGCACTGCTCGTCTGTCGTCGTCATGGCTACCCCTAGCGTCCTCGCTTTTGACGCTGAGGGTCGAGCCATTGACTTTGAGGTCTGGGTCGACGACCTGCAGCTGTTCTTACAGTGCGATAGGGCGGACGGTCTTTCCCTCTTTGACCTCACCTCTGGCGCCTCTCCTGCCCCTGCTACTGATGCTGACCCCACTGTTCGCTCTCAGTGGGCCACCCGCGATGCTGCTGCACGTCTTGCTGTGCGTCGCCACCTGCCTACCACTGAGCGCGCGCACTTTAGTCAGTACAAGAGTGCTCAGACCTTGTACGACGCTGTAGTTGCGCGCTACTCTTCCCCTGCCACTGCTGCCCTGAGCCGCCTCATGCTACCGTACCTCTTTCCTGACCTTGCTGCCTTTCCCACCGTCGCTGACCTCATTACGCACCTCCGCACTAGTGACACTCGCTACCGCGCCGCCCTTCCTGCTGAGTTCTGCGCCAAGAACCCCCCCCCCATGTACATCACTCTCTATTACATCGTCACACGCCTCCCTGACTCCCTTCGCGTAGTCAGGGACCACTACCTCTCGGTCTGTCCCACCACTCTCACTGTCGACCTCCTCGAGAAGTCCCTCCTGGCGGCGGAGAAGAGCATCGTCGCTGTAGGAGCCTCTCGTGGTGACCCTCGCACCCCCATCTTTGAGGGGTGTTCTCCTTCCCCCCTGCTGCCCTCTGTTGCCTCTGCTGCTGCTGCCGACCTGCTTGGTCTTGAGTCGGTCTGCGCGGCGTCTGCCCCTAGCGGGAGACGCCGCCCTGGCAGGGGCAAGGGGGGCAAGGGCGCGGGTGGAGCTGGCGGGGGCGGTGGAGGAGGCGGTGGAGGCGGAGGAGGGAGTGGGGGTGGCGGTGGGAGTGGTGGCGGGGGCGGTGGTGGAGGTGGCAGCAGCGGAGGAGGAGGCGTCGGTGGCGGCAGCGGTGGGAGCGGAGGCAGCGGTGGTGGTGGAGGTGGAGGCAGCGGTGGCGGAGGGGGTGGAGCTGGTCGGGGTGGTGCCCCGCAGCGTAGCGGCCCTGGTGGTGGCCAGCGTCAGCAGCAGCAGCAGCAGCAGCAGCGTTCGCGGGACATCCCCCCGCCCCACCAGCTCCGTGAGTGGTACACGCAGCGTCAGCGGGGTGGGGGTTTTGGTCCATGCACCTACGTCCTTCGTTCCGGTGACCGAGCGGGTGAGCAGTGTGGGGGTGCGCACCCCACTCAGCGCTGCTTTGCCCGCCTGACGGACGCTTGGCGTCAGCAGTTCCCCGAGGCCAGTGAGATTCCCCGTTGGGGAGAGCTGTCTAGGGCTGGCGTAGCTGTCTTTGATCTTGACTTTGATGCTATCCTTGCTGCCATGTATGCTGTGACTATTAGTGAGGAGGGTGACTGTTACCAGTGTTTCCCGCCCGACCCGGGCATTAGTACTGCTGCGCCAGGTACTTCTGCGGCTGCTGCTCTAGGTGCCAGTGCGTCTGCACTCTCAGGTACTGGTGAGGCTGCGCTCTCAGGTACTGCGTCGGCTTCGGCCTCCCTCACCTTCACACTTGACTCAGGGGCTTCTCGCTCCTTCTTTCGAGACCGCACCACACTCACGCCGCTTGGCCGGCCGGTTGCAGTCTCCCTGGCTGACCCCTCTGGGGGTCCTGTCCTCTCTCACTTCTCCACTGTCCTCCCGTGTCCGGCTGCCCCCTCGGGCACCTTGTCTGGTCTGTACCTCCCCTCGTTCT